CTGCCGGTTCATGGACTCAAGACAGCAAAGGAGTCTTACAAGGCCTGACTTGAGTAGGAAAACTCAGAGGCCGGTACCTGGGAGAGTGCACAGCCTGGAAAATCTCCCTACATATGGGTTGAAACAATTAAATTGCGTAGTGACATCCAAATCTGAGCCAATTAAAATTAATGTTTGGTTAAATTCTCACCCAGTTCCAAGGAGGTTAATACCAGCGCAGCCATATCTGTGGTTTTAGAACCTGTCTTAAACAAGGTTTGCTTGGGACTCCAACCTTTAAGCTTGTGCAAGACCTCAGCCAGACTGAGAACATATATTGGGGAACTATTGCAAATTAAGGGTATGACTTCGGTTCCGGTCTCCTATGAGAAGCGGTTGGTACAGTTACCATTGATGGTAGTAAAAGTCTAGGGCCCAAGGCTATTGGGGCAGAATTGGTTGAGAAAGGCTCACCTTGATTGGCTCAACATTTTTCAATTGGAAAATGGCTGTCTCAGTTAAGTCCTGTGAAATACACAGGACTTTTTAAAGAAAGGCTTGTGACTATCAAAGGGGCCAAAGCCACTTTACATGTTGAACAGGATGCAGTTCTGAGATTTTGCAAGGATTGCCCAGTGCCATTTACCTGTGGGCAAAAGTAGAGGTGGAAATCAGAAGGCTAGAGAGTAAAGAAATGATCAAACCAGTGCAATTGGCAGAATGGGCAGCACTGGTCGTACTGATTGTGAAATCTGACAGCTCGGTCGTCTTTGTGGGGATTTCAAGCAAAAGGTAAACAGTTTCTCACAGCTGGATAAATACCCAATCCCTCACTTAGAGGTCTTGTACGTAAAATTGGCCGGGGGGAGCTATCCTTAATGAAGTTGTACATGAGCCATGCCCACCTGCAATTGTTACTGGATGAGGAGTCCCAGAAATACGCTACAATTAATACCCATAAGGGTTTATATCAATATACAAGACTGCCATTTGGGGTATCAGCAGCCTGTGCCCTTTACCAGCAGACCATGGAGAACATTTTACAAGGGCTAGCCCAGATTACCAATTATGTGGATGATGTGCTAATAACAGGGAAAACCAATAAGGAGCACATGGAGAACTTAGACATAGTGCTTAAACGTTTCTCCCAGGTGGGCGTACGCCTTAGAAGGGAAAATGTGTGTCCAAGGCACCCCAAGTCCAGGTTACAGAATTGACAAAACCGGGTTACACCATGATCAAAGGAGCCTGGCTCCCATGTCTGTACCGGATCTTAGGTCTTTCCTTGGGTCAGTGAATTATTACGGAAAATTCATACATAAACTGGCCTCCATCTTGTCACCATTATACCTGCTATTAAAAAAGGGTCGGTCTTGGAAATGGTTGCGAAGCCAAGAAGAAGCCTTTAGGGAAGTGAAAAAGCAGCTATCGTTCATCGAAGGTCTTGGCCCATTATAATTTGAAGCGAGAAGTAGTGCTGACATGCGATGTGTGCCCGTACAGTATTGGGATAGTGTTGGTTCACCAGTGGCCAAATGGAGATTTACTCCTGATAGCCAATGCTTCCTAGCCTTTGGCTGATGCCAAATGTAAGTATGCCCAGATAGAGAAGGAAGGTTGGGCAGTCATCTTTGGTGTGAGGAAGTTCCAGTAGTCCCTTTGTCATAATAACAGATCACAAACTCCTACTAGGGCTACTAAAGGAAGACAAGGCAGTGCCGCCCAAAGCTTCTGGTAGAATTCAGTGCTGGGCCCTTATTCTCAGCACATACATATACAAGTTAGAACACCGTCCAGGAAGCCAATTGGCTAATACGGATGTCTTGAGCCACCTCCCACTGGTAGATACTCCAACGTGGTGCCACCCTGGAAGAATCTGTTTTGGTTTTGGACTTCCTATACATCCTTCCAGTCACTGCTGACAATATCCAACTGTGGATACAAAAAGATCCTGTCCTGGCAAAACTAGAACAGCTGATGGTAATGGAGGAAACAGCAGGGCGATTACAACCAGGAGTGAAACCTTTTTGGACCCAGCAAGACCAGATCACCATCGATGATGGCATATTACTGTGGGCAGCAAGGGTGATTGTCCCAAGTAAAGTTTGCTGCCAATACTGGCCGAACTCCACCAGGGTGATCCAGGGGTTTCCAAGATGAAGATGCTAGCGAGAAGCTATGTCTGGTAGCTAGGGTTGGATGCCAACATAACTTTGTTGGTGGGGCAGTGCCCAGAGGACAAAACACGGACAAAAATTGCCACCAGCAGCACCCCCACATTCTTGGGAATAGCCGGGTAAACCCGGGACTCGGTTGCATGTTAACTCCTTTCATGGGGTCAATGCTTCCAGTCATTGTGGAAACTCATTCAAAGTGGTTGGACATGCATAAGGTTCGTTCAGCAAACTCAGGGATGATGATTGAGAAGCTGCGAGCATCATTCGTGATACACAGACTCCCGGAAGTACTGGTCACGGACAATGGGGTGTCATTTACCAGCAGGGAATTCAAATATTTCCTAAAGTCCAATGGCATTCGGCACTTAAGGACAGCTCCATACCATCCATTGTCCAATGGGTTAACAGAAAGAGCAGTCCAAACATTGAAGGCAGGCTTAAAGAAGCAACCTACAGCATCAACTGAGACCAAACTGTTCCAGTTCCTGTTCGATTATAGGACCACCCCATACAACGGGGATAGCTCCAGTGGAGTTGCTGATGGGGACAGGACTCTGTACCTGATATTCCCAGACCCGGGGGTGAGTGTGAAACAGCAGCAGGAACGCCAATGCCGGTCACATACTGCCTCTGCGCGGAAGAGACAATTTAATACAGGGGATCAATTTTGGTGCCAGAACCATGGAAATGGCCCTATAATGGGTACGAGGTGAGGTTGACGCAAGGTTGGGTGCCATGACTTACAAAGTTTGGGTAGGTGATACAGTCCTGAACAAACACGTGGATCACTTGAAAGCTGTTACCTTGCAAACGGGGCAGGAGCAAAACATACCTGGTCCCTCAGAACAGCCAGCAGGTCCGGGAGAAACTGAAGGTGCTCCCCCTCTGTCTAGTGTTCAGGAAACCTCAGAGTGTGAAATCAATGCAGCCTTGATACTGTTTTCACCAGATGAAGAAGAGGAGATTTTTCCGAGATGTTCTGGATGCAAGAGATGGGCCAGGGTCTGGTACGCCTGTGTCAGAGTCCGGGTTGGAGGAACTGTTCCGGGGCAAAAGCGTCATAAGAAGCTACAAGTGAAAGACCAGGCCTACATCCCTGGGCTGGAGGGGAATATCGTGATTGGAACCAGGTGGGCATCATTAACAATGTGGTTCTTGATTGGCCCAGGTTAACAACCTCAATCAGGAAAGCTTTGGCTGACCAATGAAATGAGGAGATTAGACTCTCTTCAGTTGTGGACTGCGCCAGTGTACACTATTAAATAAAGGGTGAATTGGTGACGGGACACTGGCCTCTGTGCAGTTAGTTCAAGTTACCTCATAGCATCTGGAGCTGTTTCTAGGCAATGTATAAACGAATGAAAGTTCCAAATTGGGGAAAGATTTTGCATTCTAAGGAATGCTTGTTTCTAAATTTTAACCTGATAGACAGCCCACAGAATAGTGACTAATAGCTTAGTGTAATACAAAACTAAAAGGGATATGTTAGTGGAACAGTGATTTTGTAATATTAGGATACTAATTTGCTAGATTTGTTAAACATTGTACATGAATATTAATCAAACAAATGGAAACACTCCATTTTAACTAACTTTTGGCAATGGGTAATGCAGCTAGCACAATACTTTTACAATCATTTTCCAGGATTTCAACCATTGTGTAGGAGTGCTTAGGTCATTGGACTGCACCCTGTAGGCTAATGCCTAAAGATCATAAGGATTTATAAGCTTGCAAATGTGTTTCACCTTCTGGCATTGCCCTTTGAAGGGTCCTACATAGCTATAACTTGCAGACTCATTTCTCACAAATCGATGCATTGTCTCCACAAGCCAAGTGTCCTTGCTGCAGAATTACAATGATACTTGCTGGTACGTCCAAAGGGCAGCATTACAGTGCAGAGATGTGCCATGATGGTTTGGAGAAGCTGGCCAACGTCGAATGTGAGGTGCTCTTGGAAGCTGTCATGGAGTGAGCCCTAAAATGTTGGTACTGGGTATCCAAAGTGGCGGTCTAGAGGAACAAGTGGTGAGCTGAAGTTGGCAGGTAGCCTCCCTGACATTCTTGTTAGGAATTCTCTTTGCCTAGTTTTTGAGCAGTGGGCAGTAGGATCAGAACCTGTTTATTATTGAGGCGAGATTCTGTGTTTATGGGTGGCAAGGAGCAATAATCCCCATTAATTGGCATCTTGTAGATCCCTAGTGACAAGCTCAACATCAGGAAATGTTAGAAAATGCAACTAGTTGTTCCTGACTTTGAGAAAGGCCTCACTCAACATCTCACACAGTTCTCCCAGATTTCTTGCCATAGCCAAAGTTGTTTGAGACCTGATAAGGTTCTGCTCCAAGTGTTTTTCACAATCACTGAACATCTCAAAGTGCTTTACAGCCAATGATGTACTTTTGAAATGTAATCAGTGTTCTAATGTAAAACAGCAGTATAGAAATCTGAGCTCCAATAACTGTCTCATATCACAATTGCACTGGATCATTCAGCAAACTGTTTGGGGGACCATATTTGATGAGTGCCTAATATGTTTCATTTGATTTTAGCATGTAAACGTGGACACAATCTAGGAATCTAGGAATGTGGAGAAAGTGTGCACTTCTTCACTTGCACTTAACAAGTAGACAGAATTACCCCATTCCACTTGAAATGCCAAGCTAAGGTACCTTAAGTTCAGCTTTGTCTTTACGATTATTAATGTACCCAATGTCCCTCTCACTTTTACCCTTGACCTGTCATGTGGGAACAGAGTTTACATAAGTTCTGAGTAATATCATGCTACAGAATAATGTTTCTTTTAATTGATAAACTTAGGAGACCTTATCTGGTAGTTTTCATTAGGTTGTCTTGGACATTGATGTATAGTAGATGACGATTTATTTTCTCTAAACAGAGAGATGAAAATAACAATTTCCTACATACAGAACATTAAACTGAAGTAAGTTTTCTTCCTGAATCTAGTGTTGCATCTTGAAACGCAACAGATGTAATCAAAAAGGCTAAAAGATTAATTTAATTCCAGTTATGTATTAAAATCGCTACATATTTCAAACATTTGAAAATATGCACAATTACAATCCCTCTATTTAATTTGTAAGTTAAGGAAAACTAATAATTTAGGTTCCGATTTATTCAAAGGCATAGACACCATGTCCATGGGGGCCACTCCTTGCAGCCGAATCCAACCAGTTAGCATCGAAAGCTGCACGGCGAGCTTCCATGCTCCGGAAGGTATCTAGGTGAGGTCCAATCTGCACAGAAAAAGCAAAGGAAATGTCAGAGGCAATGGTCCATTTGGACAATATTTTAAAAACAATAGTGCTTGAAGCATTATCTCCAACCTCAAACCTGAAGAATATTGTCCGTAATCTGTGCCTTAATCGAACTATTAGAGCAAAGATGTATTGACAGCATGAATTGCAAGTTAATCTATTTATGTTTAGTTATTCTTAAATTTACAAAAAAAACTTTAGATTTAAAATAAATGATAAGCAGTATTAATTCAGCTAATGCTAGTAGAATTTTACTGTTTGCCCTCGAACAAAAGTGCCCTTTAACTAAGTATGTGTCAAAAATCAGGCTTGACTCTTCCTTCTTAAGAGGAAAGGTTTTGATGGCATTTCTTTTTAACTGTTTTCCTTTACACCATATTTTAAAGTCATAAATAGAGAGATTTTATCAAATTTTCAATTTTGACATATCTTCATAAGAAATGAAAACAAAATATTAGTTCCATGGAATGGTAGCTTTTTTGTCAAAAATAATGATTTATGAAAACGACAAGAAAGCCCATCAAAAAATTTAATTTGGTTGAAATGGTTTGTCTGTATATCTTTGAAAGAACTAGACGACACAGAAAAAAAACAATATTTCCAGAGAAGATAGGAATCCAGCACACCAAGTTGGAAGAAGCTTTAGATAGGTACATCCATCGAGTGGCTAAGTAGGACAAGATCAAACAGACAGGCTGGAAGTAGAGTGGAGGAGAACGGCTCATTTGAGCATAACAGATCAGTAAAAATGACTGGGCCCAGGATGTTATACTGGCCGATAATTGCAGTGACATCTTAGGGCTCAATAGGGAGGTGATGGCCTAGTGGTATTATCACTGGACTATTAATCCAGAGATCCAGATAATGTTCTGGGGACCCAGGTTTGAATCCTGCCATGGCAGATGATGGAATTTGAATTCAATAAATATCTGGAATTAAGAGTCTAATGATGGCCGTAAATCCATTGTCAATTGTTGGGAAAAACCCATCTGGTTCATTAATGTCCTTTAGGGAAGGTAGCTGCCATCCTTACCTGGTCTGGCCTACACGTGACTCTGGACTCCCAGCAATGTGGTTGACTCTTAACTGCCCTCTGGACAATAAATGCTGCTTAGGCAGCAATGCCCTCATCTCATGAATTAATTTTTAAAAAATGACTGATCTCTGAAAGTGCTAGTATCTTCTTTTATATCAGCTTTTGGAAATTTTTCCACTTCAGCCTCATTGACCTTTTTTTTATGAGGATTCCTTGATGTCATACTTTTAAAGCTGCCTGGACCCAAAGGCCATCTACTCTCAACTCTCGTCTGTGGTTCTCCTCTTGGAATCATAATTGAATTAACACTAATGAGGTGTGTAAAAAGTGGTTCTGATAGACTTGGACTGTGCTACATTAATGGCAGCTGATGGTACTATTAAATGCACCACCAACATTGATGTTGACAGGCCATAAATAGCAAGATTAGATTAATCATTTTTTTTTATGTGTGGATAGGATGTACTTGGACATTTTCTACCCATGCAGGTATCAAAGTCATAAATGTGCTGTACTGTTTTGATTGGGAGGTGACCAATCCTGTTACACAGGGTATTGCCATGATCCACAGCGTCATTATGAGTGTTATGTTCAACGTCTTCAGCTGTTTCTGAATGTTATAAGGAATGAAGTGAATTAGCTGGATATTAAACAACATGAGCATGTGGTTACTTTCGTAACCAAAGAGAAATGTCGATTTGATAACATCGGCTTTTGATGCTTGCAAAACCTTCAACCCTGTTTCCCACATTTACATGTTGGAGTTCACCATGGTTCAAGAAGGGGAACGCTTCCCCCTCCTCCTTTCACGTTGTTCACCCCAGATTATTTTGAATTTTAATAACATAACAACATCAAATTTCCAAGAATGTACAGCACAGAAACAGGCCATTCAACCCAAATAGTCCATGCTGGTGTATATGTTTCATTTCAGCCTCCTCCATGTTACGATATTGGTAATTACGAATTGCCAAATTTTAATTTCCATCATCTGAGTGTTATGCCTGAGAATTTCACACACTGAAATGATTTTTTAAAAGAAACACAGACCTAAAGTGGCTGCAATGTTAACCTGATCACATATTGAGACAAGCTTAGTAAGACCCATGTGGAATGAACAAAACCATTGGCAGTGGAACTTTTATGTAAACACATAATAACCAGGCAACTGAATTACTGTCAAGAAATTCACATCTTTTATTTTAATCCATCCTAGGGTGATAATTTCACATATTGGGAGATGAAAAGCTCAGCAACCAGATAGTCATTTTAGAAACAGATTGAACTACACTCAGAAATACAAGCTCAACAATATTTCAATAGCTACTTTTGAGCAGCAGAGATAAGAAAAATGAATTTGTAAGCAAACACTTACAAGAAGAAGAAAACTGTCTCTCACTACTTCTCTCCCTGTTTATTTCTTTCATTGTTTTGGAAAACAACACACAGTGAAAAAGCAAAGTGGAGAAACAACTATTCAGTGAGAATGCAAAGGTATCTACAAACGTCTGCACTGCTGAGGATACCAGTCAGCAATCAAACAACAGTAGTCTTATGTTAAAACACATCAAGGACTGTAAGGACTCTTAAACTCTGAAAATTTTACTCTCCCTGTCCATACCAGACACTCTCTTTTAAACTTATTATCCTTGTTTGTCTGTGTGTTTGATGTTGCATTTTTATTATCTTTGAGGTTAGGTAATAAAATTCCTTTTTCTTTCACTCAGAAAGACATTTGTTATTGGCTCCATCATTTCTAGCAAACTCTGTTTTAATTGAAGTATGATAACTGCACGCTAAAAAGAAACAAAAATATTTGTTGTGACTGACCGAGAGAGAGTTAAAAAGAGAAGTGATTTCCCCCTCCACACCTTGCCATAACATTCTAATTTATTTCATCTCATCCCATCTGCACATGCTATCGACATGATATACTCATCTAGCTTCCCCTTAGAGTCATATCTATAATTCACATTGTAACCATTCTGGGTAAAACAAAAACTTGATTTCTTCATTGGATATATTAGCAACCATATAACATTTATGATCCTAACTTATGGACACCCCTATAAGTTTAACCTACCAAATTCCTTCATAATTTAAGACCTCCACTGAGTCACATTTCAGCTAGTTTTCTTTTTGAAAGCAAAGAGTCTCAGCCAGCACAGTCTGTTCTGATAGTTAAACTGATTATTATAGTTACTTAATAGAATATGGATGTCTCTGACAAGACCCGCATTTATCACCTATCCCAAAGTGACCCTCGAGTAGGTGATGGTAAATTGCCTTCTCGAGCCTCAGTAGTCTTTGCGGTGATAGTGCTCCCACAGTCCAGTTAAGTCTTACAGTAACTGTGTATAATAATTGATTATAAATAACTGGCACAACAGAAACTCAGATTCTGGTTTCAATAGACACAGATCGGAATATTTGCAGAACCAAGTACAGAGAGGGAGCTTAACTCTTCAGTCCTCAGTAATTTTTTTAAAATTTAGAAACCTCTGAAACACCTGAATACATTTAATTTCTCATTCTGTGGATTAGTTTTGTGCCAATTTCCCATTTATTGCTTGGAAATCCAATTCAAAAATGAGTGAAATTAGATTGCAAAGGGGCCACAAACCAGTGTGTGCTCTGACAATTTAAAAACTCATAAACTAACCCCAATATTATAAACAAAATCTTATGGAAATCTTAGGAGGTTTATTATTCACAGTACAAAATTTTAGTACTTTTCCTTCCAGGCATGAACAAAATAATCACATTTACACCAACAGAAGGATGACCCAAGGAGCTTTATTTCCAATGCTGAACTTTTGAAATTTAACCACTGCTGTAATTTTTGAAAGCTATAGAGAGATAATTTGAGAGGAATGGAGAATTTCTCAGATTAAATGCTCACTGTAAAAACTTGGGCAAGGTGTTGAGATCCTCCAAACTGACCTCACCTGTAACTTTCAGGCCTTTTATGTGACACCACTGAAATCATGTCACTGTGACAATGTCACTAACCTATAGCTCTCAAAGTATGCTTTCTGCACCACAGGTAGTCCATCCGGATCCTCCAGGTGGTCAGAAAGCTGGTCCAAAATGCAAGTCCCTGATGTACATTGCACAGGATTAGGCCATATGAGACATCAGGCCAGACTATCAAGTTTACGCTCCCGCTTGAAAACATACTACCAGACCAGTTCTCATTTGCACAGCATAAGTTGTCATAAACAAAAATCATGTAGTTTTATTAGCAGGATTTATGTTACTATTGATTTTGTTTAATTATTATAGATGTAAGACATGAATTAATTTTGAAGATTATTGTGATAATTTAACACAATAGAATCTTTTGATATGTTCTTTGGTAGTATTAATGTTTGTAATAAGAAATTTCTATACTTTTGTTTCTGCCACAAATGAATAATTTACATTTTGTACCTAAGATTCCATACTATTTTATTACATTTACTAGCAAGCATTTGATGACTTTTTTTGCAGTGGCAAGTTAAAGCAGTTGTGCAGCACCAGGGTGGGGTGGTCTGCAAGATCTCTTGCCCACCTAAACAGCTCGCAGCCAAAACGATCTAAGAACCAATGTCTATGGGCATTCAGGTTATTGTAGAAAAAGTTCTAATCGCTTAAATAGTCAAGAGAAGAACATTACACCTTGTTCAATCCCACTAATTGTACTCCTTTGTTTTGTTTCCTCACCACATGAAAAGTGAATGAGAGTGTTGTCACAGGCTAGTGATATCTAGTGCAGCCGTGATACAGGAAAACAAACAAAAGGGAGGTCGGACTGAAAAATTATCAGGAACTCTCAAGAGCTGTTGACAACTTGTTAAAAATAATCACACTCACAAAACCTATTATAGTTAGAGTCTTGTTCAGCAAGTGGTCCAGGTTTGTGTCAGGAAGTGTCACAGATAAAGAGCCACTCTTATCACCA